TGGAGAGAGAAGAAGAGAGAAGAAGGCAGTGCAGTCCCCACTCTATGAAAGAGAGGGCAAGAGTAGGTCTTAGGGTTGAATAGGCGTAATCAATGACGCCAATAAAAGGAAAAGAAAAGTAGTATTATTTTCATTAGTCTCTCTTTCTTTCGTGATCTTCTTTTTCTTCTCATGACTTTGGCCAACCAAGGACGCGTGCAATCTACTCCCAATCCCTGCTGGACTAGTTCTTCTGCATGGCCCACGTAACGTTGATATTTTTCTTTGCTCTCTTTCTTTTCTTTAGTTTTAACGCACCACATTCCCGTGATATATGAATATATATGAATGTGAATATGATACCCTTTCTCTCTCTCCTCATACTGTTTCTCTCTCTAAAAGACTCAAAAACACACTCTCCAAGTCCAACAAATTGCATGTGGGTAAATCAAAACCAAACAATTCCAAATCAAGATAGGATTATAAATATTAAAAAAACAGATCTCCAAGGAAAAGAGAGTGAGGTGGCGTGGCATGGCATGTAGCAATGTGGCCTGCTTTTGTTTGTTTCCTCATTTCTCCCACTCAACATTCCATGTTCCCAAAGGCTAAATGGACCAGACACCCATCTGGGTCTGCTCACATTCTGAGAGTATTTCATCAAAGATGTTTAAAAAAATCCAACGGCTCTGATCAACTGGGTTTCACTTTTTGTTCCGTTATTACAATCTGATCACAGACACACACTCATGCAGAAACCAAAAAAGCGATATAAAGAGAGAAGAAGAAGAAGAAGTAACAAAAAAGCTGGTGGGTTTCTGCTACGACTTTCAAAATTTTGGTGTGAAAGACAGAGCATTAACAGCGACAGTGCAAAGGCAGCCGATCCCATAAAACAACCGCAATTATATTATTAAGGGAGGTGAAAGCAATGGGTCATGGGGTGGGTGCACAGAGCAAGCACACCCTAAAAGCTCCAAAGCAGCCGTAAAGATGCGTAGCAAAACATTACTATTTTTGTAAAAGAAAGAAGAGAAAATAGCCACAGGCCACGCCCTTCCTTATGCGGAGGGTATGAGAGAGAAAGTTAACAAGTAGGGTTTGTGTGTGGGCCTGAGTTTTTTTTTTTATTTGTCTGAATTTTTCTGACCCACCTGGATGGGACTGGATGGGATGGGATGGGACTGGATGGGATTTGTGCTGCTGATCCATAGCTCTCCCTCTTTTAATGCTGAGTATTCAGTTTCATGCTAAGGTATCCAAACTGCACCGATGATTCCAGAGGCCCAGTTGGCCGGCCACCCCTATCCCCACCCTAATCCTTTCCTTTTCTGTCTCTTCCTTTACCCCTATTTCTGTCTTCTTTTCTCACTCTCTCCGAGTAACCAGTAACTAACTCCTTTTTATTTTTTGACAATGCAATATTTTAAATTACTTTAGTGTAGGAGTGCAAGGAGGTGGACGTATTTCCTTGATCAACTGACTTAATCCATACTTGTAGTAATCAATTCCTTTTGTTTTCTATTTTTCCTTCATGATTTTTTCACTAATTAATGAGCCGGTTAAACATTAGACTAATAATTAGTTGGTAATGTTAACATATCGAGTGACTGTTTTTTTTTTTTTTTTGGAATGTGACGAGGAAGTGGGTGGTGGGATTTTTGTGGTTAGCCAAAGGGCATTTGGGTTTGGAATTGTTTTTGGGAAGGAAAATGTGATTATCAAGTAGAAAGTGGTCTACCACTTTTATTGATTTAACTTTACCTGCCTACTTTTGTCTCTTTTTACCATGCTTTTAATTTGTTCCTCAATATTTATGTAACATCACAATTTTGGTTTCGTAAAATTATGAAGATGTGGGTGTGGACCATTTGGACCATGTGAACCATATGGGGCAGAGAGAGAGAGAGAAGGGGGTTGGAGTTAAATCCTGTCTGATTTACATTCTCATAAATAACAAGGTAAATGATTTTCTCACTTCCTTTTTATCCACCTACACTCTTTTTTTTTGAGAAAAATGGAGTGTAAGTGGATAAAAAGAGAGTTGGAAAATTAGTACCAAATAACAAAAAAATATTGTTATGTTTTTCTTCCTCAGAAATTTGCATATAGTTTTAATTATGATGGTAAATGTAATGTCTGGGTAAAAGAAGAGGAGATAAAAAGATGATGATTTAAACAAGTAATTTTGATTAGTTTTGATAAGATAAAGTAATATGGATTAATTATTTGAGGGGTTATGGTGAATAATTAAATGGAAACAAAATAGCAAAGTTTGATAGGGAGGTCCCCTCTGCCATGACCTGTCACTTTTGTCTTGGTGGGTGAAGGTCCTGGTACAGAGATGGCTTTGTCCAATGTCCATGGTACTTTCTTCTTCCCCACTTCTTCCCACTGGGCTAACCCTGCAGTAATGTTACATAATGTTTCATGTGGTACCACATGAACCAACAGTAATTTCAAAATTAATCAAATATTAATGATTCTCTGTTTCTATTCATTCACTTTTTCTTTTATTTATTATAATTTTTTATGTTTTTTTTATTTAACTTTTTGCCCAGATGCAAGGGAGGGACCCTTCTTTTTCTATATGACAATGTGCCAAAGTATTGAAAATGTATTTAATTTGTCAATTAATGGTGGAGTTAAATCAACTAAACTAAAGCTATTATCGATGTAGAAACTTTTTTACTGACACAAAAGGCATGCATCCATCTTTTTAAATTAGAGTTGATTTCAGAACAACCACAATCCAAGGTCAGTGGTTGGTCTCCTGGTCTTGCTAATTGCAGTTGTCCAATGATTGGATGGTATCAATATATGTTTTTCTTGTCACATCTTGATGTCCACATGTATTTTTGGTGCAATATTTCGTTTGATGGGTGGGATTAGCCCAACCCATCACTTTCTCTTTTTCTTTTTCCCTGGCTTAGCCCAACAATGAATTTCAGTCTAATTATATTTTAGTGCAACATTAAACTATAATATATGTTTTTCTTGTCACATCTTGATGTCCACATGTATTTTTGGTGCAATATTTCATTTGATGGGGTGGGATTAGCCCAACCCATCACTTTCTCTTTTTCTTTTTCCCTGGCTTAGCCCAACAATGAATTTCAGTCTAATTATATCAACTGCAGATTAAGAAAGAGAGAGAATAAAAAAGAACTAAGCAATGACAAATTTCTTTGCAGCACATCAGAAATGATCCTCATTGAGATTGTAGATGGGTTTTTCACATCTCTATAATCCTGAAGAAACAGATTTTCCAGGCAATGCTTTAACCAAAATACGTATGTGTCAGCATAAAATGGAAATTTTATCCACTGTCCAAGAAAATTGTTTCCACCATTCAGACACTCAGAACCATCAACCTTGCATTTTAAAGACTTGAATCCTAAATGCAAGTCACTCTATATAACAAGTAATACTATTATATACTGCATTTCAACTATGATTTGTACATACATCCAGGTGAAGAGTCTCTAGCTTCCAACACCAACGGCCCGTTCTGGTAGTATCCGGAGAACACGTCTACAGCTAGCGTATGTCTCTTGTTAATAGCTTGCCTGAAACCTAACAGAGCAGAAAATGGGCAAAAGTTAAAGTAAAAATGTAAAACATATAAGAATGTAAGGGAAGTAGTTCACCTTATTTTTGTCTAATTTGCGGCCACCCATTTCCAATTGCATGCATAAGACACAAGTTTCATACTTCATGGAACATAATGCTGCTTCAGCCTGAAGCCATAGTTTTTTATACACCAAAGCTTGTGGGTCTAACTCTTCCGTGGTCAAATGATTGTCTCTCAACGCGTTGCCCATAACCTGCATCTTACCATTACAAGTGTGAAGTTTCAGTTTCCCAGTAGAGAAACAACATTAAGCACTGATATGATAATTTTCAGCAACAGGTCCACAAATTATACCTGAACGATGTCATTGCTCTTCTCAGTGCCTACGCCACTACATGAAGGAAAGGAATCCAAGATTCTCTCAGTGAAAACATGAGAATTAACCTTGTGCCCCTCACGGTCATTCTGATAATTAATCTCTTGTGGAACAGCCAAGGCCTTTTTCCTTGTTACTTGAAACCCCATGTTCGAGCACTGAAAAACATTATTTAGGCTCTCAGATCAAAAGAACATATACACATGAGCATTTTTAATTTCATAAAAGAAAATGATGAAATTATTTTTTTCAGCCAGCTCCCAGGTGGACACAGATAAAAGTATAACAAAAATATTACTATAATGGCATTGTTATTACGATAATTATTATTAATCTCATTGTAAGCAATAATATTAAATCTACCAAACATGATAAAAAAATAAAGGCATGTAAGTGAAGGTTAATGCTCTCACAGAAAAAAAACCAGTACGACAATAGTATGAATTCAAATGTAAGTACATTTGTAATACATCTAGAAACTAGTATGTTAAAGAGGACATCATTTCTATTTTAGAAGATGAGTAAACTGCACATATATGCATCATAGCATCCCCGCAAAATTTAAAATGTTAAGTACCCAAGAGCTTTCAGATTCAAAATTTCAAACAGGAAAACAAAGTTCAGTATTTTCTTCAAAAAAAAATCTCAACATGCAAGGTCACACACACATACCCCTACCTTGTGCAGCTCTGTTGATTTAATAGGACAGTACGGAGTGCCTGTAAGAGTTATATCAGAGATTGGAACCTTTCCTCCATCCCCATGTTGGATGCACATACAAAGATTATTGATTATATTCTGCATCAAGTCATGCTTATGTTCATTTAGTGAATCTAAATCATTCGAGCACTTCTGTACAAGCAATTCTGAGAGATCGTGCATCATATTAAGTATTTTGGGAACATCTAATTTTGAATGTGTAGACAACAACTTGGGCAACCCCTCGGGCAAATTGAAACTTTCTGAGTTATTAAGCAGGGGATAAACTCTTTCCAGATCATGAATGTCATTAGAAGACTGAGTCCCTATTCCATTAATCGATGAAGAAGACTTTGATCCTACTTGATCAACGGGTCCATGTCCTTTGGAGGATGAATTAACAGCTGAAGATACACTCTTTCGGAAAGATGAGAAATCATCTCCAACATAGTCATTTGCATGGTAATCTACAACTGCTTTAGCATGACGAGGAAAAAATTGAGGTGCCAGTGGATTCAAACTATTACGCACTTCTTGTTCATTTCCAGCAAAGTCTGAACTCAAAGACCTTGAAACTCCATATTGCCTAGAAGCCAGGGTTCCTTTCCAACAAGGTGAGTCCAAATCAGAGTCATTCTCATCCAAATTTTTTGAAATTGAAACAGCTCCTTTGGGACCAAGATGTTTCAAACTGAAATCATCAGGAATATTGGTTAAAGTAATTAGTGGCTCAGATGTTGCCTTCAGTAATGCACCTATACCCTCACTAGAGAGAGGTTTGCCATCTTTGCCTCCTTTTCCTTTATCATGGGGACTTCCATCATGATGAATCTCTTTCCCTTCACCAGATATCAGGTCATGAAGATCCTTTATGCCAGAAGGACTGCATTTGGAAGAACTATCGTAATTGTTCGGTGGATAATTTCCTTTAAAATCCACATTCTTTGACAAAGTGAGATTCAAGGGTGAAACAGTTGTGCTGGTATCTGACTCAAGCACCACAGCTGGAAATGAGTTATTTGTCGGCAAATGGAAAACCGTAGATTTAGCTGTATAAGCATCAAGTTTTGTAAAGCCACTATCGCACAAAGCAATTTCGGAATTGCAATGACTCCAAGTCACTTTGGGTGCAGTATATGGTAACTGAGTTTGAGAATAATCTTGAAGATTTGATGTAGGGGAAGTAACTGACATCGGAAACTCATGTGGAGTCGCCCTAGTATTAACTGCTGAAAAAGAGAAAAATCCAGCATCTACTTGGTCTGTGGATCTTGAAATGAACTGATGTTCAGTTCCTACAGTTAAATCACAGTATATTTCATGGACACTTTCAGAATTCTCATGATTGAGCTTCGATCCCTTAACTGCAGGCTTTCCTGTACAGAAGCAAGTTATGCATGAAGCGCTTACTGTATTGATGTCATAACAAGTATGCCACAGAAAATAACTTTCATTTCTTAATACCCTTATCGATAATGTTCCTTCCATACAACAAAGCAAAGGCCCTTTGCAACTTAACAAAAAATGTAGAATAACAGTAGAAGAGAAAAAGAACAAAAAGGAAGAATTTATTTTTCCTAAAAGTTTGAATAGTTCTTCATGCAAACAGCGAGAGTTCTTCTGAAAACTTCAAATCGTTCTTCACGCAGTGTTATGTGATGCATCCAATAATTATGATCGATAAACAATTATCTTCTCTCTTTTTTTGTGGTATTTACATTCTCCTATAAGTTACACACCTTATGTAACCAAAGTAGAAAACACTCATAGTGATCGGATATAAAGTGCTAGGAGTTGCTCAAGCTTCTAAAAAATAAACAAATAAAGAGATTGTGCGAGAATGATCCATTTGTTATTTTGAGTTGATCATAAACATTAAACAAGAAGAGATCAAATGGTAAACATCAACCTAAGAATCATACCACCACAAAGTGGCAAGTGCTTTGAAAATTCTTAGGGAAAATGTTTACTAATCTACCTTAAAGGGTGGCACAACAAAGGTGGTTGCTCTTTGTGAAATGACAATAAAACGTTGTGTACTGGGCATCAACAATGAAGGAACTGAATTAATTTGTCTGCTTTGGTAACTTCAACAGAAAATGGATTAAAACAAACTTAATGCAGAAACTCAATTTCATAAGCATAGTAACCTAGGCAACGAAAATTACCTTGTTCAAGCAAGGTTTCATAAGCCAATGAAGCATTCTTGTCGCTGGAGAAACTTGCCTGGCTGTGCCCAAATGATGAAAGCTCTGTGTAATTGGTTAAGGACTCCTTAGAGGCCGAGGGCATAAAACCCAAGTCTGAGGCAGCATTCGAAGACGGGTACTGTGGAAAATCAAACTCCAAGAATGAATAAGGATCAGTGGAAAATGGGTCAGATTCCAAGTTGATATCAGACACAGGTTTGAGCATGGAAGCACAGGGGTCGGCTGAAGTCAACGAAGACCAAGACGGTTGGTAAGAAAAGGGGTTCAATGAAAAGGGCTGAGCTGCAGGTGACAAACGGGACTGAACTACTGACGATGAAGCTCTCTTTCCATGGCCATCCCCCTCCATCTCTATGCAATGAAGTTCCAGTCAACCAGGTGGTCAAAACCCCCTTCCCAAACAAAAACCCAGACCGAATATCAGAGAAAGCATTGCATTTACTCAAGTAAGTGAAAGGTTAAAACTTTTTTAGCTACCCATGAATATTGATAAGCAAAAGAACTCTAAACTTAGCCAAGAAGGCAAATTTAGAACATACCTGTTGCAGAGGAGAAGCAAGCAAAGACTGGTAGAAGCAGAGAGGAGGAGGATGTGCCTTTTGATCAAAAGAAGAAGGGGTCTGTTGGTCTTCCTCTAATTTTTAATTGATTTGCAACAAACAAAGAAGCGAATTTTTTTTTTTTTTTGTTGTTGGTAAAAACAGACTCGATTTTGGTTCTTTGTATATTCACCCTTTGACTTTGACTCTTTATTGTGCCTCGAATTTTTTGAATTTTTTGTATAATTCTCTTCGGGTCGATACGAATTCATATCACTTTCTATTACAGATTAAAATGTGTTTGTTATCAAACTCTGTTCTCTCTAATTTTAATTTTTCAGGTGTTTATTGAAGGAAGTTGAGGTTCCACCCTAAAACCAATTGGTAATGGAGGGAGTAGCCCAACTCCTTATAAACCCAGGCTAGGTCCCTTAACATTTCAATGTGGGACAAATACTCTCAACACG